CTTTGTATAATTAATTTAATTTGCATAATCTTCAAGCTAACATAATTATTGAGGAGATTGATTCTTGAGTAGTGTAAAGTCTAGTTATGGGTTACTGAAGTTATTCTACAGCCATTATTACACTTTCTACTTATAGTCTTCCCATTTGATTTATATAGTTCTCAGTTCTATTTCAAATTGCCCATCTGACCTTTCATATTGTACATTTTCTCCTTCAGAATTTTGTGTATGTTTCCTGAAACTTCCATTACAAAGTTTTAACATAGGTCATATCTGTAATCTGTTATCTCTTGGGAGTGTGAATAGATCCATCCCACTGAACCTATAATTCCTTTTCCCTAAAAATGAGTATTCCCGAGTTTTTGGTACATAGTCATGCCATCTAGTGAGTAGTGACTTGTAATATGTATTTAATATGACTATTTTGGATTGTGATAGTCTTTTTTTTTTTAAAGATTTATTTATTCATACAGAACTGGGGTACAGGCCAGAGATGTGGAGGGTGAGAGGATTCACCAAGGACAGAGTGGGGAGCAGAACAGGCAAATTGATGAAGTACACTGCTGAGGGGAGCAGCGGGCGGGCCAGGAGAGGTCTGCCATGCCATGTGGTCACCTTCAGGGCAGGCGGGGATCAAACTCATGCTAAAGTGGCTTTAGCTTCTAAGTGCTGTGCTTTAACCCGCTGTGCCACCAGGGAGGGCCCGGATTGTGATATTCCATAACTGAAAGATATACATTGTCATTAAAGACTTGGTGTAAAAATAAAATAACCTTTTCAAGCATTTGAACATAGTAAGGGGACTTATTCTGCAGACATAGCTGTGAGGCCTGGATGGGGCTTCACAGCTCCTTTCCTTGGCGGGTCTTTGGTAGGTGTGGTGTGCTGCTTCTGGTGATGTATGCAGGCCCAGGGGAAGCGGTCTGCCCGCCTTGGTGTCATGTTTTCAGTGTTGGTGGTTCTAATCTAATCTGCAGTTTTGATCCTCAAGGGACATGGGGGGAATCAAAATAAACACTTTCTGTTCATTTTATATTGATTTTACATGGAAAACACTTTCTGTTCATTTTATATTGATTTTACTTATATATGTGTACCTATAACTATTAAAAAATTAACCAGTTTGTTTCTACTTAAAAATGACTATTGGAACATTTAAATCATACATATGAAAGATCTAAATAAATCTTGGATCTGTTTGTTCATGGGCTGGAATATCCAACAGTGTCAGTCCTACACAAACCAGTATGTTGATTTGATGCAGATGATATCAAAACACTAGTAAGTCCTAGTGTAGCTATAGACAACCGTTCTAAATTTATATGGGGAGCAAAGGGATTTTAATAGTTGAAACTATTTTGCAAAAGAATCAGGTGAGATGATACACTGATTCTTATATAGTACAGTCTTATATAATAAGACTACATGGCATTGTGGAGATAGATAAAGATCAATGGCACAAAGTAGAGAAACCAGAAATAGTCACTCTATTTCTGACAGGAAACAGATTTGACAAAGTTTAAATTCAATTCTATTGATCTGTTGGAGGTTAGAAAATGTTGAACCTGACTTCTTTTGCTACATGGAGGGAAATCAGACATTTTTCTGCAATGTGGTTCTTCCAGTTTTGGGGTTCCTAATCTTTTCATCTTTCTGCATTCTCCTTTGCTTGTTTCTCGCATGATGGCATGATTTTATGGCTGTACATAGTGGGAAAGATCAGAGTAATGTTAGTCTGTGCCATCTTGCCTGGATCAGAAATTCTCTTGTACTGTTTGAGAAACAGATTCACAGGAAGTTGCAAAGTAAAACTGGAGGTATGCATAAGACTGTTTCCACTAGACAGTAACTCACAGCTGAGCCCTTCAAAATCACTCTGGAGATACCCACCTACCCTCCTTCAGTTCCAGCATTCTCCTTGCAATAGGATAGCAGGATATAGACCTACAAATAGTATGTTAATATAGCTTCTGTTTTCTTCCCATTCTGAGACTTAAAATATTTGCAAGGTCATCCCCTGCTTCTTCATTGCCTAGATTTGGTCATCTAATTCCGAGAACAGATGAGCCTTTTAGGTAATACAGGTTTGTTTATTGCTTCAAATCTGAGGAAGCAAGAGCTGGCTTAAGTTTCCTCTATTACATTGCCCCAGATGTCAGTTTTTGAACAGGCATACATATTTATCGTTTAAATTTGAGTTATTTTCTTGTTTCTTTAAACAATTTTATTCTTTATAGGTTTTTTTGTTGTTGTTGTTGTTGTTGTTGTTGTTGCAATGAATTTCAAGGGGGAAAATACCTTTTCTCATTTTCAAGTCTCTCTTCACTCTTTCCATCAAAGGTGTCTGGGGCAAAACAGACAAAACACAAAGCTCATTCATTTAGTGTGTTACTCCCTTAATATTTTAAGGTCAGACCTGGTGTGTGTGTGTGTGTGTGTGTTTAAAGATTTATTTATTTATTCATATAGAACTAGGGTACAGGCCAGTGGTGCAGGGGTGGTGAAAGGCTTCACCAGAGACAGAATGGGGAGCAGAACAGGCTGAGTGATGTACACTGCTGAGGGGAGCAGCGGGCGGGTTAGGAGAGGTCTGCCACACCATGTGGTCACCTCTGGGCCAGGGATCGAACTCACACTGCCGCCAGCTTGCAGTGCTGCATCCTAACCCGTTGCGCCACCAGGAAGGGCCCCTTGTGTGTTTTCAAGAGGAAGATACAACCAAAGGTATAAAAGAATGATTTCTAGTACTTGACTTTCTCTTGAAATTGTTTTAACAGAATATTTCCTTTTGTGCTTTTCATATAGAATTCATTGGTGAGCAACTAAAAAATATATATCCTAACTCACGATTTGCTGATGCATTATTAGGGGGTTAGAGAAATTTACAGCTGGAAAAGTGCAGTACCAATATGTGGTCCCTGCCTGGGCCTCACTCTTGTCCCTTTTATCACATACCCTCTTTGCTACCTTCTCAGTGGACCAGCTGAGCTGCATTAGTTGAAGGGTCAAAGGCTTTGCACCACCATGCAGCTTCTGCACTGGAGACAGACACTGGAAACTTTGAGAGGTCATCTCATCCATGCTGCATTCACATTACAATGATTTTGAGTTTTTGCTGATTGGTCTTACAATGGCTAAATTTTCTTCATTTTTAGGATTATGTATAGAACTAGGCTGTAGGCTAGAGGTCTGTGTGGGGGGGAGGAAGGGGTCACAGGATTCACCAGAGACAGAGTGGGGAGCAGAGCAGGCAGATCGACGAAGTACACTGCTGAGGGGAGCAGCAGTTGAGACTGGAGAGGTCAGCTCCCTGGCCAGGGATTGCACTGGCTCTCCCAGTGATAGCACTGAGACATAAGCCCTATGCCACCAGGGAGGACCTACAGTGGCCTCTCCTGTCTCACTCGCTTCCCCACTCAGCAGTATATTCCAGCAGATCTGCCTGCTCTGCTCCCCACTCTGTCTCGGGTGAATCCTGCTCATGAGCTCTACTTGGTTCCTGTGGGCAGAACTCTTGCATGACCTTGACTGGCATCTGGACTTAGATACTGAAAGGCAGGTGAGCGCACATGTGCCTTGGGGGAACACGCCAGAGGGCTGGGTCTGAGCTCCAAGAATGTGAGAAAACAGGTCATACGAGCAAGCAGCCACATCTGAGAAAGATAATAAAAAGCTTATCAAGAGACTTGTCTGGGTGTGTGCGCAGGCTCGGCCATCTGGGGCTGGACACGGTGTTCCAAGAAATAGAACACCAAGATACAGAGCTAGAATAGGTCAATATGCTGTTGTTACTGCTGGAGACTGTCTAGACAGATTAAGTCAATATGCTATTGTTTCAGCTTGATAATGTGGAGTATATGAAGAGCAAAATAACGATGCACTGCATGCTGGCTATAGCAGTCGTCCCTCTGGGTCATCCTTCACAGGCGTGCCCCACATACGGGACCCACCAAAGAAAGGTCCACAGTTCCCAAGCCCAGTTCTGTTTCTCTCTCCCTCATAAGAGTGTAACCTGGGAGAAGACTGTTTCCATACCTTCAACAGCAAACCAGATCCTGGGGCAAGAAGAAATCAGTACATGCTCCTGGATGAGTAAGATGTTCACATCTCCATCTCTTCCCCAGTGGGCGATGGCCATCATCCCCCACGTGCCGAGTAAGGACTTGTGCTGCACCTTAAGTGATCCACCTCGCCTGCAGGAGGTAACTACCACTTTGGGTTTCAGCTTTTCCAAGGGGTGAGCACTGCAGTTTGACAGCTGTTTGAGGGCTAGTGCTGGTCTACGCGACACTAGTTGGCTTACACACTGGGTGCCGCGAGAAGAGGCTGGAGCAGCCGGCTGGGTGAGGTAAGGGGTTACCTGCAGAGGTCAGTGCTGTTATAGGCCAGGACTGTATTCCACGCCGTCCAGGGCAGAAGGCCAGACAGAATGCCCTCCCTGGGGCTCTAGTCCAGTGGCAATCTAGCTTTTTGCCTATTTTTCAGGAACGGTCGCTTTGTTAGCCAATAGAAGATGATGCACATTCCAGGGAAATGGGTGGAAACAGACACACCATGAGCTTTCTGCTTTTATTCTTGCCTAATATATACCCTGTTTTCTACAAAAATTAGGAGTTTATTATAATTTAATAAGATATTTAAAATATAATTGTGAAATTAAAAAAAAAAACCTATCATGCATCTGGATGGAAAAAGAACCAGTAAACAAAACCAAGCAAAAATAAATGAAATGAAAACTAAATCTCCTCAACTTCCTCCTCTTTCCCAGGGTGTCAAGGGTGAAGCTGCTAGAACAGCTGTTGAGCTGAGAGGTGCCAGAGAAAAAGGTAATGTCTGCAGGGAGCGCGCCTCTGATCCCCAGCACCGCCTGCTCCTGCCAGGCGCAGGCTGAGCAGAAGCCCCAGGGCCGCCTCAGTCCCACTGCATCTCGGGGTGTCTGGGGCTTCAGGCCCAAGTGCAGCTGCACTAAGTTTGTCTGAGTTGTCAGACTTCATGTAGGTCTAAAAATGGGTGCTCTCCTTGTCCGTCGTGTTCAGCTGCAAGTACTCCAGAGTGCCTTTCTTGTAGCTGGCTACCCGGGTTGGTTTTCGGTTTCTTATTCCTGCCGCCTGCCTTTTCTGTAAAGAAGTGGCAAGCATGTCTGAAAATTCCGCTTGCAGGCGCTGCTGATTCTCCCTGGAAAGAGAGTGTGAAGGGAAAATCTCAACCACTTATTCCGAACTGTCCTTAGCTCCGAAATAATCAGTTACGGTGCCAAGGTACTGTGCAAGGAACTGTGTCCGGCTCTGGGCAGCTGCAGAAGCAGCAGCATCTATTTCGAGTGGGAGAGTCTGTTTCAATTTCATATGCTGTGGGCAGTATGGGGTCTCCCTCTACCCCTGTCCCACCCCCGCCCCCAAGACCTTGCAAACTGGCTGCTCCCACAAGGAGTTCAGAGGCTGGGTCTTGCAGGGGAGAAGGCTCAGGCTGGAGGGAGGGTTCAAGGGCCTGGGGTAGACCCGAGGCATGTCTAGGAGGGGGCCAGGTGCCCATGCCTGGGAAGTGTGGGTGGTTTGGGCATGGCTGCCCGCTGTCTGGGTCGCACAGCCAGGAGTCCCTGAGAGGGGCTCTCTGCCACAGCCACAGGCCTGGGCGCAGGAACTGATCTCCAACCAGATGGCCCCCTGAGCCACTCTGGGATTCTGAATCATCTTCCTTACTGCACAGGGACTATAAACTCCAAGCAGAGACTAGAACTACAGCCCTGGGATTTTGCACCTCATGTTTTCATGAGGTGGCACAGCAGAGGGTGTAGGCAGAAATTTCGAGGCCCCTCCAGCACGCTCTGGTCTTAGCGCCCACCTGTCTGATCCACCTGAGCCAGCCTGGGCCTAGCAGCCAGAGGTGGGGTGTTTCCAAGCCTTGAGTGTGGGGTCTCCCACCTTGTCTTTAATATTATCACTCCCTGGCACAGCCCCTGCTGCAGCACATCCTACAAAGCCCAGCCCCCTCACCCCCTCCCACCCCGCCCCCCAGAGGCCACGCTTACACAGTGGGAGGGGCCGGCAGGCTGTACACCTGGTCCTTCATCCCGGTCAGCCAGTAGGTGGTCTCTGTTCCTCTTCCCTGTGGGACAAGAAAGGTGAGATCACAGCGGCTGCCGGTCCAACAAACCTGCTTGCGGGGGACATTTCACCCCCACGTTCCTCCTCACTGCCTACATTTCAGCACCCATTCCTGCCAGGGTCTGCAGGAGTCCAGCAGGTCTTTATTTCCAAAACCTTTAAACCACAGACATGGTTTTTCAAGGTAGTTGTCTTCTCCTCCCCCCACCCCGCCCCGCCCCCAAGACTATTCAAAACACTAGAGCAACGTCCTAAGATCTCTACATTAAAAGAAAACTACCTAACTGTTTTCACGGTCCCCACTTTCTTCTCTACCTTTTGTTGCAGATTTTGCCATAAATTTAGGCCATGGTTTCCCCACCTTAAGCTTAAGGTAAGTTATAAATATGTGTGTACCATGACAAATGCTCATTACCCTTGGGGAGCCCATCTGGAGGTCATAAAATAATGGAAACTTAACTGGAAATCTAGTTTTTGCTGAAATATTTGAAAAGCAGGCTGAGTGGGGCTACATTTAAACACCACTCATTTTTAAAACCGGCGGTGTGGGCCCTCCTTGGTGGAACAACTGGTTAAAGCGCAGCGGTATGAAGCTCTCACAGCCACTGCAGCACGAGTTCGATTCCCAGTCAGTTGGATGTGTGTGGGGACATTTCTATGTGCTGAAAATTTATGGCGAATTCAAGAAGTACATAGGACACTTCCCGTGTGGGATATCTCCCACACGGCAAGGCAGTGCTGCACTCAGCTGCCGGAGACAGTCAATAGCTGGCTCAGGTCAGTTATGAAGATTGTAATGAACTTTAAGAGGTGGCCTGGGACTGAAGAGGACTCTGGTGGCTCTAGAGGACTGCCAGAGATAGGTGACAGTCTGGAGGAGTGACTCACGAACATGTAGTGCTCATCTGTTGCTCAGATTGTTAAAGAGCCCTTGCTCAAACAAAAATGTTACACAGTGGAATACTGTTCAGCTATAAAAAAGGAAGAAATCCCACTATTTTGCAGCAACATGGATGGATTTTGAGGGTCTTCACTATTCTTAGTGAAGTCAGTCTGATACAGAAAGATAAATATGACTTCGCTTATTGGTGGCCCATAAACAAAAAAAGTGACTAAACTAACTAGATCAAAAGCAAATATAAACTGCAAGGCCAATTAGGAGTTACCAACAGGGAAGAGTGAGTGGGTAAATCCAGGTATAAGGGGACGATTGTATGAAGAAGAGAGTTGAGCTTCTAGAGTAAATTTAGCCTATATATAGATGTTGATTTATAATCACGTACATCTGAAATGTATATGTCATAATGTATATAATTACTATGTTTGTGTTCCTGATCTACCAGAATCTGACTTAGCAGGCCCCAGGCAGAGGCCCAACATCTAGCTCTGCATCTGGAGAGGCAGCAGATGGCGCCAAGCCAGAGGTCTGAGGCCGCACTGCAGTCCTCTGGCCTAGGCTGCAGGACAGAAGGGCACCGCAGAGAGGTGGCATCTGCAGTCCAAGCAGAAAAGTGAGTGAGGAGATGGGGCTTTGACGCAAGTTACATACATCCTGGTCCAGCCTGTAGCTGTCAGGCTTGGAAGAGGAGCTGGGGACAAAACTTGGACACGTGTGGAAGAAAGCGTGGCAGCATTTTATACCATATTGGTCATAGTTCAAAAATCTTTGGGGCTCTTTGGTGCCAATCAAATCTCTGGACTCCCATTCCTTGGGGGTGGCTCACACCATGGTGGGTGAGCATAGCAGAAGGACAGGAGTGCTCCTGCCATCACTGTCGCTGATGCCACCTCCAGGCAGCGGGCCCAGGTGTACAGGTCAGTGCCTTCTGTGGGATGCCTTACCTTTAAGTAAGTTTCTCCTCTCACTTCATACAGGAACTGGCACTCAGTTCTTCTCAGGATGGCTATGGTGGAGCCGCTCACATGGATCCTCAAGGCTGGAAATGAAAAACAGAGTAAGTGAAGATCTCCATTTTCATATCCCTTAAATGGCCACATTTGTGCTGGAGGCGACCGTGGATAGGACTTGAACACTGGGTGACCTAGGAGCTGGACCCAGGGCATCGGAAACCCCTCTCCACAGAAGTGGCTTCTACCCATGGTTCCCATCATTTTATGGACTCAACAGCCCTGAGAGTTGGCTGTTGCTGAAACCACAGATGGTGTCATGCCTGACCCAGGTACGGCCTCTGGATCAACTTTCAGGGTCTGGGTTAGATCTACCTGTGCTCACTCATGTCAAGCCCCATAAGTCAGCTCCCTCTTTACTAAAACTGCCACCTGAAATCTGGACTGGCCTTCTCTGGCTGCTCCCTGGCCTCTTTGTAGGGGTCCGGCTCAGGGTTTCACCCCAGGAGTTCCTGATTTGGACTTTTATTTTAGGTGCTGTCAACAGCTTTGCTTTTTTAGTGAAAAGACACTTCACATTCATTTCTTTCCCAGGAGAAGAGAACATCTAGCCATGGCTTTCAGGGTCCTGAGTGAAGGGGCTACCAGATTCTGCTCCATTGATTCCCATTCCATCTCAGCATGGCTTTGGGTTAAGTATGGCACTGAGCTTGAGAGTTGGAACTTGGTTTTGGATCCCTGCGTCAAAATTCCAATAAGTTGGTCCTTCCCTGGTGGCACCATGGGTTAGAGCACAGCACTGTGGGGCTGTCCACAGCCACTGCAGCATGAGTTAGATTCCCGGCCAGGGAGGTTACCTACATGGCATGGCAGACCTCTCCTGCCCACTGCTCCTCAGCAGTGTATTTCAGTCCAGTGCTTGTTCTGCTCCCCACTCTGTCTCTAGTGAATCCTCTTACCAGCTGCACCTCTGGCCTATACCCCAGTTTTTTAATGCCTAAAAAAAATAATTCAGGAAGTAGCTAAATCTTGGAGCAAGGTGAAGCTGCAAGTTCATAAGGCCTTGCTTTTCTCAAACCTTAGTCTTCTAGGAGGGTGCTCTCCTGACGACCCCCTTTCTCAACAGGGATGCCCCGGATCATAGCAACCCCATGTCGCAAACCTACACTTATCAGAGGCTTGCTAAATGCTTAACATGCATCACCCAGATCTTTTTAGACACTCTTCAAGCAAGGTTGATCCTTAACTTGTATCTTCAGCTTTCTGAGGCCAAGAGATGAACTAACTCCCCCACAACTTATATATTAGGTTGCCAGAAAAGGCAACCTTGAAAAACAAACAAACAAACAAAATACTTCATGACTACTGGCACCCCAGTAGGTAGTGCTTAGCGGTTACATTTGTAAACCAAGCACGTGTGGCCCCAACCTTACACCATGATTTTCTAGTCAATACTATCAGGTGATAAGAACATTGCCAAAATAGCCTTTGACCACTTTTGTGGGCCCAGCCACCTCTCCCTAGGCTTGGCGTTCTCAATCGAGCTCTCTCTCTCTCATGCATTTCAGTCACTATCACCACCATTGTTTATCAGGCACCCAGTACCTATAGCATGGGAGCTCTTTCGAGCCAGGACAGAGCAATAGAGGCTTTGGCAATACAGGTAAATACTTCTGTTGTTCATTACTGAAACGAATTCCCAGGAAGCTCAAATAAAAGGGGTTGGGGTTGGAAAGTGTCAGGGGTTACTATCGGGGGGGGGGGGGGAGCCCCTTCACTCAGGACTCTAGAAAGTGCCAGATGTAGCCCACTACGTTTTAACTTACATGTCTCTTTGCTAAATTTCTTGACTATTCAAGAAGGTGGAACACACCAGGATGCTTTGCAGCTGAACCAAAATTAATAGAAAAAGGGAAGAATGATTATCCATGAATAGCAATAAAGAAAGCAAAGGTCACAGGGTTGGTTCACACAGGCTCACAGTCAGCGTGGAGGGTAACGTCAGTCTTCATGTCCCTGGCACTGAGTGCCCCCTAGTTGTGCATTTTACCCACAGGTCCCCTCTGCTGGACGGAATCTTTATCCTCTAAGAAAAACAATCTTCCTTCTTACGGAGGCCAGTGGATTCCATCCTCGAGGCTGTGTTGACTGTGTCTCCAAACAGGCAGTAACGCGGCATCTTGATCCCCACGACTCCAGCAGCACAGGGACCTGACGTGGACAGAAAGCAGGCAGGGAGGTAACAGAAATTGCAGAGGAGGGCAGGGGGAGTCCTCTCAGGGCCAAGTGGCTACACACGAGCCACCGAGGGGGGGTCATGTAAGCTGTGAGGTTGGCTACAAACGCGCCTGCCTGCCGTGGAGGAGCATTATGGACGCCTGCTGTAAGGAAGTAAGTTTGCTCTGGCACCAAAACTGTATCTGCATAAGAAGGCAGCCAGAGACTCGCGGCCAAGGTAGAAGGCTCCCAGAAGGCTGAAGACTTGCCCACTGCTGCTCGGGGGTGCTAGCTGGGAGCTGACTGCTGGCTGCACACACGGGCGTCATGGAACACCTTTGCTTTATTTCCTTTCGTTTCAGTCAGAGTACCTCCTCTGGAAGTGGGGCACCATGATGCAAGACCCAGAAGACAAGGCCTGGCACAGTCCCCCTCGAGCAGGCCCTGTGCAGCTGGAGCAGAGGGATGATGGCAGCAAGGGGTTAAAGATCTCAGCCATTAAAGATTAACTGGGAAAGTGCAAATTCAGGTTTTGGACAGAGGTGACTAACTATTGATTCCCAGGCTGACTTAACTGAATTTTGATCTACAGAAGTTTGTTTTTAGATTTGTCCTACAGTATATTTTATTTTTGAACTTGGGGGGGGGCAATAAAAATACTGGATTGCACATTTTTTATTCTATAGTTCTTCTATGTCCAAAACCCTTTAGGATTGATGCAAAATAATCAAACATGAACAATAACTAAAAGTAATAATAACCCAAAAGTGGAAGGAGCGGTAGAGCCATTTCTTAACCAGATCTGATGGGGACAGAGCCTGGTGAGCCTCATTACAGGTGGCTCCTCCCCAGTGGAGTGAGAAAGGGGGGCAGGGCCTGGTGGAAGAAAATCCCTGCAGATACCCTGTCTTTTACTGGTAACTCCAGCCTCTCAGAGCTTCCTACCTTCAGGTATGTAACCCAGTAGCTGCGCCCCTCCCGCCCAGCACCTGGGCCCGGTGGGCAGCTCTGTCACTGGGCAGGTCACGGGGGCAAAGTGTGGGCCAGTGCCCAGCTCCCCTCTCCCTGGCATGACTCCACTGTGCTGTTGCTGTCTGTTCCTCCAGCTCTGGCAACTGGCAGAGTCAGGAAAAAAGACAGCATGCTGTTGCTGGCCAGGGAGCGGCCCAGAGATTTCCCCCATGTGTACATGGAAACATGGATGCCATCCTGCTGGGAGAGGCCACAGCTGTGTTCCTGGCAGTCACAGGTGGCAGCATTTGAAACTTCAGTTTACTGTCTCCGAGAATCTCACAGATTTATCACTCAGTCTTTACTGTCATGTCCTGGGCACTGAGGACACAGGGTGACCTTTGCAAAGGCAGCTGTCTGCTCCCTGCCAAGAAGCCTGGAATGACCTCTCAGATTTTCTGTACCCTGGATTGCCTGTGTGACTTGGAGGAGAGAAAAAGGAACAGTGGCGGGGAAACGATTGATTAATGCAAGGAAAGACTCTTCAATAATGGAGTGAGTTGGCCTTAGACACAGTGAATTTTCAGGAAACAGATTCCTGGGATCATTCAAAAAGCGGCTGTATTACTTATAAAAGCTATAAAGATAATTTATGTCCCTATAAAGATCTTCTAAATTCCTCTCCAACTAACTTTTTCCAATAGCATCTGTAACTCATCTTTTTAAATCTCTATGTTCAACTTTCATGGTTTCTGAAGTGACCATGGACCACTAAATCTAACCAGTTACTTTTTTTCTCCTGTGGAAAATCTAACCCACCCACTTAAGATACTATTTTAATAGGCAAAAGCCCATGATGGTGGGGGTGTCAGGGAGAGAGAACGGGGAGGGAACAAACAAGGGTGTAAATAGTGGCTGCAGAAGGAAGCCTGGAGTTTCAAATTTACTAGGTGGTCAGTTATGACAGGAGCTAGTGCAGTCAAAGGTGTGATTTCTTAGTTGCTAGGAGCTGGGTCTAAATTTACTAGGACATACATATTGGGGCCTCATATTTGACCAAGAGGGCCAACCCTCAAATGAAAATGGATTACATCTGAAGCCCCTTTACCCTTTCTGGCTTATGGGCACACAGTCCCATGTGGTTCCCTTTGCATAAGAGCCCAGCCCCTACCAGAATGAACTCCAATGCGAATCCATATTGGGAGGCCAGGGAGATGTTCCAGCTCAAAGGTCCCCATGAAGCTGAGGATATCCAGGGCCATCTTGGCGATGTCTACTGCATGCCGGTTGCCATTTCTCTTGGGCAAACCACTAGCCACCATGTAGGCATCACCAATGGTTTCTACCTGTGGAAAATGTTTGTCATCAGTCAGTCTGTCCTCAAAAGGCAAAGCAATGAAACAAGCAGTGGATCACAGCAAACATGAAAGTTTTCGAGAACTCTGTATAAGCACAGCTTTTGGGACCAGTTCTATGCAGTTCTAGTTTCAGGGTTTTTATACGCCAGCTAAAGGGATGATAAAATAGCTAAAAGGGGTTTTACTCATAAGAAAGCATTTCCCATTACTCATCCAGATGCGACAATTCTATAAATGTTGAAAGCCATCTTTAGCACTTAAATCATTTTTCACATATTGCAAAAAATATTTTTTGTATGGCGATTCTAAAGACTTCTCATATAATAAAGGGGCTTATCTTAGTGGTATTGTATAAATATTTTTTAGAAATGGCCTTTTGACAAATGCTTTAGAGAAATCCTCTCTGGGATTAATGACCATTATGACAAACTGTTGTATGAGTGGTCTCTAAGCTTTACTGAAGGATATGGGGTGGTTTTTAGACATATTGTTTGCCTCATTGATCTTCACAATAACCCCATGAATTAGGCTTATTATCCCATTTTACAGATAGGTAAACTGAGGTTTGATGTAGATCACAAAGGTAGGAGCAAATTAGAATTTAACTGAAGAACTCTAAGGCCAAATTTACTTGTTTTACATGATTAGCTGCTTTTCGAACAAGAAAATGGGTGAATTCAGTTCTTTACTCTTCTGAATTAATGCCCTCAACTCTGGTTCCCCCTGCCATGGTGGCACAAAGGGTTAAGTCTCGGCATTAAGAAGCTATCAGCAGCCACTGCAGCTTAAGTTTGATTCCCAACACACCTGGCACAGCAGACCTCTCCTGTTTCGCCTGCTACTCCCCTCAGTAGTGGATTTCAGTCAGTCTGCCTGTTCTGCTCCCCACTCTCTCTGGTGAACCCTCTCACCCCGCCCTTCCCACCCCTCTCCCTGCCTACTCCCCAGTTGTTGTATGCATAAATAAATATTTAAAAGCCCTTGTTTTTTTAGCCTTCTTTGAATGATACCAGCTATTTCAATAACAAGGTACCAGATGAACTGATTCCTTACTTCACTTATCAGATTTTTGGTGTCTTTTGTGCTTCATTTGCAATTAGACATTGCCACATTGGGTGATTTGGGAGCCACTTTCTCTCAACACAGTACCCCAAATCTAATCCTGCTTACTTTGTTGCTTACACTGCTTGGTAAAGTCATGTGGTTATTCTGTCCTCTGACCCTTGGTCCTCTTCATGCTTGGCTGAGAGTCAATCACCAAATCATCACATTTTGAATGAGAGCTGACAAGACCTGACTAATACCAGAACACCAGTTCCAGCTGCTGCCCGGGCCCCACACTGGCCCCCACCCGCCAGGTGACTTGTTTACCTTGTACACATCATGGTGATCGAGAATATGGTCAAAACTCTTATAGATGTCATTGAGCATGTCCACCACTTCCATGGGGGTGCTGTACTTGCAGATGGTAGTGAAACCCACAATGTCGCTGAAGTAGATGGTGACCTCCTCATACAGCTCAGGCTCCACGGTGCCTTTCTCCTTCAGAGACTTTACCACTAGTCTGGATGAAAAAAAGGCAGAAAAGGCCTTCACCTTCAGTAACTTTCTCCTTTTACCTCAGTCATTGAGCCAGTAGTAATTGTCCAAGGACTCTAAACATTGGAATTTCCAGGGATGTGGGTGACTAGGAGCATAGACAGTTGTATATGTCACACACCTGGCTCTATTACAAACCTAGACCATATAGTTTGTGTGCTTGAACTCAGATGAATTTAGCATATTTAGTATTGAGCATAAGGCGCGAGTACACATAATATCGCCGTAAGCCTAACACGTACACCCTTGGCCACTTTCTGCCTTTGTAGATGGCCAGCTTCTTCCAGACCTACCTCTGCACCCAAAAGCCAGGAAGGAGGCTGTCATTAATGTAAAGGCTTGAACCACTAGAGCAATCAGATCTGACTTCCTCATTAGAGTCGCCACGTTTTACTTCCCTGGCGTATTTAACATGGCAGTGTTTAATATCACTATGGAAGAATAATGCATTTGAAAGTGAACTTTGATCTATTCTGAACCAGAATGTATTTGATATGCTTTGAACCATATTTGAGTCCTTTAAAAGGCACAATCAGGGCCCACCCTGGTGGTGCAACGGGTTAAAGCACAGCACTGTGAAGCTAGCCAATGCCACTTTAGCGTGGGTTGGATTCCAGTCCAGGAGGTGACCCACATGGTGCAGCAGACCTCTCCTGTTTTGCCTGCTGCTCCCTTCAGCAGTGTATTTTGTCGATCTGCCTGCTGGTGAAGCCTCTCACTGCCCCTGCACTGCTGGCCTGTTCTGTACGCATAAATCTTTAAAAAAATAAAAGCCACAGTCAGTCACCATGTAAACAAATTAAAATGATGCTACAACTCAGAAGTCTGAGAAGACAGTATCTCTGTGGCAGAGCTAAGGAGCAGCGTGTCAGAACCTGAGAAAGAGCTCCACACTGCCTTCATGAGCCAGGTCACACTCATTGAGAAAATGGGGTGAGGGGTGACATGAGGCAGTGTGCTCCCTGTCTGCCCTTGGGGTCACTGTGGGATGTACAAGGCTGTGGAAGCAGAACCTGGAAGCGGGGAGTTTGGACCCTGGAACCAGAAGAGGGGTCATGGAGAACAGATCATTTTATAGATATTCACTGATGAGAAAAGTGACATTCAACAAAAAAGTGTGACCTCCACGTGGTCCCACAGCCACTGAGGCTGAGCCAGTCCCAGAGCTCAGTCTTGCTTTGCATCACACTGCCCTATGACCTAGGCCTGGCATATTCAGGAGCAGGGAGGATATGGCGGCTAGGGAGGAATGCCAGGCTCACCCCCCATAACAGCCAGGAGCCATGTGACTCTCAAGGTTCAGTTCAAGACCCTAAGAAACGTGGGAGAGGGTAGCTTTTCAAGAGGTATAGACACAAAACGTGGGGCCTTGGAAAAATGTTCCTTTGGAGAATGTATTTGTCCATCCAAAAGTGGGCTGATGTCCAAGACACACAACTTACAAGAAGCTAGTAACCCATTCACAAAATGGGCAAAAGACCTAAATAGACACTAATTTAAAGAAAACAGAGAGATGGCCAACACGCACATGAGAAAATGCTCATTGCTTATCAGGGAAATGTAAATCAAAACCACAATGAGATTACCTCACACTTGTGTGAATAGCCCATATCAAAAAGACCAGTGTTGGTGGGAATGCAGAGTGGTCCAGTGCCTATGGAAAATACTATGGAGGCATCTCAAGATATTAAAGATAACTCACCCTATGATTCAGCAACTGTACTGCTAGGTATCCATCCAAAGAATTAAACCACCATTTTAAAAAGATATATACATTCCTATGTTCACGCAGCCTATTTATAATAGCCAAGCTATGGAAATGTCCAACACATGATTGGAGTGAGAGATGTGGTATATACACACAATGGAATACTACTCAGCTGCAGTGAGGTGAATGTTTCTGTAAGTTATCCAAGTGCGTTGCAGTGGAGTCCTGGTGTAGTGCAGCTACGGAAGATCTATCTGCATTTTAAGATCCATTGGCCAGCCAGTAAAACATCTGCCATCTAGCGGTTAAAATGGCACATTGCTCCAAAGTTAAAAAATGCAGAGGCCCTGAGCCAGCTGTTGCAAATCATCTGAGTGGCTAATTCATTGGTTGAAACCACTGATGATAGCACCGTGGAAGGCAGCCAAATAATCAGGATGTTTTTGTCACATCTCAGCATGACAGACCAGGCAATGAATTATGCATCATATAGCTAAAGGTATGGGTCCCTACAGAAATCACCACTTCGAAAGTGCATATTCAGGGGGCCAGCCTATTCCCAGGGTTCCATACCCAGGCCCCGATGACATGGGCATTCTGCATTCTAGGTTGCATGACTGACCAGGGCATGCATGTAAACCCTATCACTTCAATTGACAGAGACACTTTTCTGGTTTAGAAAACAGCTCATACAGTCTCAGAACCATTCCTTCACTAGTGGAGAATTATAGATGCATGGAAGTGACAAAATGATAATGTAAGGACTAGCTACAAGTCATAACTCCAGTGAGTTAACCAGGGGCATACAACAAAGAACACTCAGGGTAATCCCCAGGGCCAGCTTGTGAAGTAGATGAGCAACAGGGCTAGCACTGCTGGAGGAGGTGGCAGAGAGGAGATGACTACCAGATGACCCTCAGGCTGGACCCAGACACCTGAGCTCCTTGGCGCACTCACCTGTGCTTGGTGAAGTAGGAGGGTCTGCTGTGTCCCTACTACTGCTGCTGCAAGCGCATGGCTTTGAGAGACCAACATGCTGCTGAGGCCATCTGGACAGTGTGCCTGAACCCAATGGAGGCTTCTGTAGAAATTCTGGTGGGCAGGTGCAGGGGATCTTAACTCGCAGCTGTCCCAGACACACTCCGAGCCAGAGCCGCCACCTATCTGGAATGGGCTGCCTTGTTCTTGGGGCTCTCCCGGCCCTCTGTATCTGGACCATTTTAGAATCTCTTGGCAGAAGTCCTGAAGTTGTGACCCAATAGCTTTGAGATGACTTGCCTGAGATCGTACATCAGTAGGAGACGGTGCAACATGACCTCAATTCCCACTATTTCCTCTAATTCAAGAATGTCAGGCTTGTCCTTCATGGAATAGGACAGTTTATTATGCTCTAATGAGAGAACATCACTTCCTGTTGGAACTGATACGGACACCTTGGCCAAGCCTGTTTCTTTGCTTTCCACATTTAATATCTAATTAGGTTAACAGTCCTTTGGCATGACCACTCAGGTATTATTAGCTAAACTTAATTATTACTACTGAGCGCTAGAGGACCGATACTCACAAAACTAACCAGTGGCTGGTGACTCAACCTTCTTTCCTTTCTCTCTGTCACGGTAATACAGAACAAGGCTTAGCAAAATATGTGTATTTTTAAACTCAATAATGTGTTCATGAATGTGCAAAAGAAACTGTCTCAAATCACTGAAAGAAAAACAAATGCTGGAAAAGCGAGCTTTGCCGCTAAGGTAGGAGGCACAGCTGTGGGCAGCTGCGGGCAGTGATGCCAGTGGCACGTACCTTGGGAGCAGCATGAAGTTCAGCCTGTCGGCTCTGTCCCTCTCTGCCTTGTACAGCTGCGTCCTTTCCTCCACCAGATGCTCCAGGTTTCGGGAATACAGCTGTAGGCGTCGGATCAAGGTGTCCATGTAACTTTCATTCTTCTGGTCATGAAAAAGGCTGTGGGTAGTGACAGATCATGAGCTTGTTTACACTGCTAAGAAAATGTGAACGTCCAAGGATGGACAGGTTGTTAAACCAAAGTGGCCAATAAATATAACAACTAATTTAACATTGGGGTGGGGGGATCAAAGAAATAGAAATTAGAAGAAGAGCAAATGTCAGAAAGGCCATACTCAACGTAGTAAGAAGGAAAAGAAATACACAGCGTGATCTCCCTAAAGGGTCAACAGGAAAATGTCCTAAGTGCTGAGGTGGCCCATGTTGGTCAGCCCATGAGCTCTCATAAGAATTGTCCAGGAAAAACCATCACGAATGCAGTGAAAGCTAACTACGAAGAAAGTCCAACACCCTATATAATGGTAGACATTTGAAATGTGCAAATCACCTAAGTGTGTAACCACAACGGGGTTAAAATACGGTGGCAGGATGAAGTCACATATCATTCAGTACACAAGAAAAGAGTCAAATACACAACAGGACCCCCCACGGTGAAGTGAAAAACTCAGTTTACAAAACAGCAAAAATTATCATCTCCATTTTTTTTTTTTTGAAAACTGGTGGCCATTTATAGGACATACAAGATGTTTCCTCTTGCTTGCATATTAACATTTTCTGAAATTGTAATAATCATTGGCAGTACAGGGAAAACCTTAAAATACAAAGGCTCTAGCAGTGACCAGTGTAAGAGAAAAGCCAAGCAAGCAGAGCCGAGACTCCGCTTAGCGTAGAGAACAGAGCCAGGTCCTGGAGCAGAAAGCCTGCAGCTGGATGACTTTGTTAGGCCCAGGGGCCTCTGAGCAGAGGCCTCTTTGCAATCGGCAGGAAGCACAGTGTGGCTGCGAGGTGGCTGGGAGGCAGGAGGCCTGCCCATGGACACTCATAGCCCATAGGCCACACTGTAAGGAGAGCTGCGAGACAGGCATGCCTCCATAGCAACCCCCTGGGTGAGAAGGATGATGGTTCAAAATTCACACATTACTGAGTCCTTCTGTGAACCCATGTAAAGGAAGCAGCTAGGTTTGGGGTTAAGAAAAATAATTCTTTAGTACGTTTCCTGGGAGATCCTTATGGAAAACACGATGGGAAAGCCTAGTAGAACAGCTGAGGGAGCAGGTGGATGCTCGAGTGTCCTGGAGTGGTTTTCTCAACCTTGGCTGTACAGTCACCTGCAGGGCCGTGGCAGCTCCTGAGGTCACCTGCTCAGAGATCAATGGAACTGACTCTCCTGGGCAGGACTTGGGCAGTGTATTTAAAATCCCAAGTGACCTCCATGTGCAGCAAGTTTGAGGATCACCCTGTTGAAGGCCAAGCATCGAGCCAGTTTATCCTCATGTGTTTACATTTCAACTGCACGCATTCGATCTCACCTGCTCTGACCAGCAGGTCCGTGAAAGAATAAGCCAGGCAGGAATGACATCGCTTATTGTTTCCTGCTCCTTTCCTACACATGATGGTGAAGATCGCCACTCAGCAACAGCCCCCTCGCTCATCTGCAGCCCTGGGCTTCAGCCCCTCGGGTATCTGGACAGTTGACTGAATGAGAAGCACAGACAGAGCAGGAAGAGATGCAGGGGGGCATCTTGTTCATTCCAGTCTGATGCTGCCAAAGCCAGAAACCCACAGAACGTACTGCCTGGTTTCCCTCATCTGGGTGACCGAACTTACTCCAGGTAAAGCCTTATGAGCTGCAGAAGTATCAATTTCTAACACGTATGATCAGAATTTAAGTTTTAAGCAAATTTTGCCCTTGAATGTTTTAACTTTCAGGTGATTATTTCTCTGAAAAATAGTCTATTAGTCTCTGTAACATCTTTATTCCCTTGAGACAGGTCTGGCAAACAGCAAACACTGTCATTCCCATTGCTCAGATGCCACCAAAAGTCAATCATCATGAAAAGTAAGAATCACAACAATACCCAGATATCTTGGCCAGAGTATTCTCAATTTTCTTGAAATCTGGTCTCTTTTCTGGATCTTCCTCCCAGCAGTTCTTTACAAGGAGATACACCTGGGGAACAGAGGGGCGGGTTAGCTCAGCGGCTGCGATCCTCTTAGTCTCTTCCACGGTGGCAGTAACCAAGGCAGGGGGGATCTCGCTGTGACAATGAGGACCTGCTGCCCAGCCCCTCCAGTGGGAACCAACCAGGGCCTGCACTGCCGTGTCCAGACCACATCATGTGCCCTGCACTGATCGAAGAGATGGTACAGACTTGGAAAAGGCTGGATCTATGGTGAAGACAAAATGCCGTATATGTCTTTTATAGTATTTATGTTGGAGACAGCAAGAACTTGTCTGGGGCTGGGCGTATGAGGCAGTTATGCCAAGAGCTGTGGACGGTGGTTTTCCACTTTGGCTGACCATGGGATAGCCCATGGAGCCATTACCAACTTTTTAAAGCCCAGGCACCACCCAGGAGATTCTGCTTTAACTAGGTTGTACAGGGACCTCAGTAAGGGTTTCAGATTTTGCAAAGAGAAGTATAGTATATGCAGTTAAACTTCAATTTCAGATAAACAATGAATGACTTCTCTAGCATGAGTTTGTCCTCAAGTTGCATAGTCAAAGTTCTCCAGGTGACTGTAATGCCCAGTTGGCTGAGATAAGAGAAGGGAGGGAGGGGGTGTGGAGGACAGGACATGGATATAAGAAGTCCATCCAGCATCATCTCACTTGCTACTCCTTTTACTTGATCAGAAAGCACGGAAGAACCATTTGTTTAAGGTTTGCTGATTACCCTCACCGATGACCAGATGCCTTGCCTGAATGGGTTGTTCCAGGAAACTCTGGGACAGCGATGCCACTGTCGGTTGCCTATCTCACCGCTAGAGGGTGCTCCTGCCTTGGTAAAGGATCTGCTGGTGCCAGAGAGAAAAAAGGACAGAACCACCCAGAGCGCTGGTCTGCACAGCCCAGGACTGGCCCTGCAGGCCCGCCAAGTCCTCTAGTTCCAGGTTTCTGGTCTACTGGAAATAGCCACCAGGGGATCAGACTCCTTCCAATTCCAGTGCTATCCAAGGTCAGGAGTGAATTGAGGACAGTGCTTTGTTGAAGAGGTTCTTACACTACGTGTGGACATATTCTGACTAGAAGGGGCATTTGAGAAGGGATATTCTGAGCATGTGGAGGAACCCCAGGAGCCAGAAAGGCAGGAGGGAAGGAAGGAATGAGGAGACCAGAGGAGCAGCTGCATTTCAGCTCAGAGCTAACTGCTGAAATGGAGCGGAGGAGAGGAGAGGAGAGGCACAATGTCCATTCATACCCCAGTCTGGTCATGAGCCACACCTGGCAGCGGCTGCTCATAAACTGAAGGACGCTGTCTTCATCTTTATCCCACAGCGAATAAGAGCAAAAATATTTGGAAAACATTTTACTTTATCTTCTGGAATTCTTCAAAGTCAAAAAAAAATTCTAAAGAAAGAAAATATTTTTTTCTATACTGGCTTTAAAAGGCTTTGTGAGGGAATATTAAAAATGCAAGGAGAGCTTAGTGAGATAAGCCAAAAGGAAAAAGAAAAACACCAGATGGTTTCACTCATAGCAGGAGTATAATGGACCAGGCGAGAAAATAATAAGAATAATGAACAGCCATATACCAGAGACATTCTGTGGGGGTGGAGTGGAGAATGGGATCAAAAACAGGAGGGTGGGGAGGGAAGTGCACAGGACTATGGTGATGGCACATGGGTGACTTGGTGATGGGAAACCTGCAGGGATTACAATTGAGATTTAAAAAAAATGTACAAAATGATGTAAAAATAAACTGTTAAAAAATACACACACACAAAATGCAAGGAGAGGGAGGGAAATGTACTGGATGATGGTGATGGCACATGGGTGATTTGGTGATGGGAAGCCCAAGGGGATTGCAACTGAGATAGGAAAATGCACAAAATTATGTAAAAATATTATATAAAAAAATTTTAAAAAATAAAAGGAGAGCATTCCATTTCCATGAAAAGATGGATAAAAACAGTGAAAGTTTCCATCTCTATGGCCTCTAGATGTGGATGTACTTATTTTTTAATAAACTTAATGAGTGTTTCATATGGACATCGAGCTCCTCCAGCAAGGGGACATTTCTGTGGAGCCAGCTTCCTGAGCTGAAAGAGTGGAGGAGACCTGCGGAATGCACTGGGCTGAGAAGGAGCCCCGGAAGGAAGACACGTTTTAGGGACCTGGAAAGGGGGCTTTGTAGTGATTAAGTCAGGCATCTTGAAGTGGGGAGATGATTATCTTGGTGGGCCGGAATACAATCACACTTATCCCTCTAGAGGAGAGTGCAGAGGGAGATGAGACCAAACAGAAGGGAGCGTGGTCACAGAGGCCGAGAGTGGACTGCTGTGCCATAGCCAAGGGATGTCAATAGCTGCCGGAAACTCCTGGAAAAAGCAAGGCTTGAATTCTCCCTTCAACCTCTGGAGAAAACGTGACTGCAGCAATTCCTTTCAGACGTCTAGTCTTCAGGACTGTAAGCAAATAGATTTCTGCTACTGTAATGCATCAAGTTTGTGCTATGTTATACCAGCAGCTCAAAGAAACTCAGAGAGAACAAACTCACCTCCAGCTCTTTTTCCTCTGCCGTTTCCAGGAACAGGTCTGGGCGGAAGGGTTTTGGTTCATTGGCGTGTTCCACTCTGAAAAGCTTCTCTGATGGGACAAGGGGGTTCACATTAAAAGAAAGGGTGAAGGAAATGCTGGCAGTGGCCCGACTTGGAACTGGTTCTCTTACCCAACAGGAGCGCTGTGGGTCTAGGTCAGCACTCAGTAGGGTGGATGGTGAACGCACCCACAAGCCACCAGCTGAAGGGGGGCTCCTTCCCAGGTCACCTTGAGCTCAGGTCACTTGGGATCCACTGCCCTGACCCAGGCTCCAGCCAGCCCACCCAGGAGCTGGCATCAGGTGCTCAGCCAGCATGGGCCGAATGGATGGCACCACCTCCCCTCCCGCGTACACTGCTTCCAGAGCCCTCTACCTTTCACACCACCCCCTGTGCAGGGCTCCCACAGATAAGCCACTGCACTTGCCATCGTGGGGACCGAGTTGTGGGCACGGCTGACAGACGTGGAGCTCGGTGGCCCGGCAGGCTGGTGGGCAGATCACGGGGGGATGCGCTCACCTTTCTGGTCTCGGCAGCAGCGCGTGTAGAAGGTTTCTCTCCGCAGGATGATCTCCTGCGCGATGATCCCATAGCTGTACACATCACCCTTCTGAGAGACGCTGGCGTGGCGCAGGTGCTCCGGGGCCATCCATAGGTCTGCGCTCAGCAAGGAGGGTGCAAAGTGGGTGCCGTGAGCGGCTCCTAACCTGTATTGGGCTCTTCCGTCCCTACCTCAGGTGCCCAGGCCAGCAGAGGCCTGGGGTTCACATGGGCCTCAGGAGGCCTGGGGTTCACATGGGCCAGCAGAGGCCTGGGGTTCACATGGGCCAGCAGAGGCC